GGTCCAGACAACAATTTGTGTGCAGAATCTCCACTCTGACCTGTAAAAACAAAAGCTGGGGGTTGTCCAAACCAATAACCAACATCACTATAGACATTGTTTAATGGGCGAGAACAAATAGCCCATGTTCTCATTAAACAGCTTTTTGTGATGGCTCCAGAGTGTGCTCATAAATGTAATTTACTCTCTGGCTGTCGAGGCCTCCTGACTAATTGTTCCCTGGTCCCTTGATTATCTTGAATATGCAATGTTGACTAGCTTAAGATACCAGGTGACCCAATTGAGCATCAATATAGGATGCCTAGTTTCCAGAACAGTCTTGTAAATCTGGATAGTACATCATTTCCATCAAAAAGATAAAACAGCACCGAGATGTGTCGAGCTCAGAAATAAACACTTGCAACCAGCCATGAGAAAAGAATGACGGAAATCCTAAAATCCACAGCCAAATTTACCAGATGTTCTACCCTCCAGATTCTGTGGCTTCATTATGAGTCAAGTTCCCTGTGATCTTTCAGATCATGCATGCTGTTGCCACACAGATACCCTGGAGATGGAACGACTGGGTGGGGATTCTAGCTCCATCTCTGCGACCTTGGATGTGCTACCTACCTCCTCTGTACAGTGCAGTTAATGATAGTTTTTACTCCAGGCAGTTATTTTATTTATGATCTAGCTCTCTGTCTGTCTACAATCAACAGGTGCTCAGTAAATGAATGCCAACCAGACATCAGGCATCCTGCTCTGCTGGGGCCACTTGGAGATGAATAAAACATGGTCTTGGTCTTGCCATGGATTGGAGGAGAGAAAAAGACAAGGTAAGTACAAGAAAAGAGTTACAGACCAACATGTAATATAAGGACTAAAATTAACTTTCAGTATCAGAAACAAAGATTCAAATTTTTCATTATTATAATAATATTTTCTAATACCTACATGACATTAAGATAATCAACTGAAAACCCATTAGAAATGATCAGAATTTAGTAAATTAGAAAAAAAGTGCACACACAGAAAAAAACTTCCTCATATGTCTACAAAGCCAGTTAGAAAGTATGGGGAATTGACCCTACTCATACAATTTACATCAATGAGCAAGTCAATATTTAATAAATCTAGCAATAATTGTAATAATCGCTCTCATTTATTGAACAGTTATTACCATGTCAGGCACTATGATACGAGCTTTTCCATTTTTACCTCATTTTATACTCACTACTTAAAATAGGTACTATTATTAATCCCATTAAGAAAACTTAGACTTTAGAAGGTTAAGTGATGTGCTTAAGTTTACCTTACTAGAAAGTAAATGTTCAGATATAAAAATAAAACTTTGCTGGCTGGCCTAGCCTAAAAGAAAGCCTGAACAAATTGAGTAATATATCTCTGGATGGGAAGGTTCAATATCATAAGATATCAATTATCCTAATATACATGTACATGTTAAATTCTAAAGCTTATTAAAAAGAATAAATAGAGAAGCCTAATTAGTTTAGTTCTCAGAGGGTAAAAATGAAGCCACCGGAGGAGAAGCCTCAATCATGAATATTTGGATGTATAATATCAGCCATCAAAAGCTGTGAAAATGCATTGAATGACTTAGGAAAATATTTATCATACATATTTATGTGAAATAGCAAGATGCAGTATTTTCCATGAGGCATCATCTCTTAACAGGACTGTCTGCTTACAGCCTTGCCTCATTCTCAGCCTGTCTCCTTGCGGCTTCCACACCTGCTTCAAAGAGATCATGCCTTCCAGCTCATGGAGGATGATACTGTGAATCTCATTTTTCTATTTTCTGGATTAAATAATTCTCATAGATAGGGTACCTCACAGAGTCTTAAGGATGGTTATGAGTTTTCCAGACTCAAAACATTTTCTGTAAGCTTTATTGCGGAAGTGTCTGTGTGTGTCCAAGATGCTCATTCAGGACTGAGGAGAGCTCTCTGTGTTTGTCAGCAGGCATCGTGGAGTGGTTCATCCGGGGCCTTAAGACTGACTGTCCCAACGCTTATGGCCACACAACTAGATCACCTTGCTAGGTGTGGTCATGTGACTACATTCTGGCAAGTGGAATGTGAGCGGAAGTAATGTCTGCTCTTTAGCCTGGTCCTTCAAAGTCTTCCTGCTCTTTCCTCTCTGCTGGAGTGAGGTAGACACATGTGGAAGTCGCCTGCTCAAGGAAGGAGGCTGGGTTCCTGACCAGCTGCTGAGAAAGGAGGTGCCCACGGATTGGGAATGCATGATCTGGACCTGTGGCAAGTGAGAAGCAACCTTCTGTGTGTTAAACCGCAGGTAGGTCACCCTGGTACAGCCCTGTAGTAATACAATGAGACAGAGATAATACATTCACCTAGCAAAGCAGCAGTCTGCCCCAGGTGAGGAGAGAGAAATTCTCCCAGTGAGATGGAACATTCGAGGGTCCAGAAAGATCCTCTTCAGCTTGTTAACCAGCCCAGATTGTTAGGGAATTAATTCCTAGTCCTAGTAATCAGGTTACTAATATCCTTGTGGACCATGAGGGCTAGTTCCTACTCGTTTCTGAAGGAAAGAAGCAATCCCAGTTTCCTTCAATGAGGGGATGGCATAGTTGATCTCCAAATGCAAAGGACACAGTGGGATGGGACGGAACATCTGCAAGCTGTGGTCAAGGTGACATCTGATCTCCCAGATACGTTTTCTGCCCCTGCTACCAAGTTGCCTTTGGGCCCAGATTTCTCTGTTTCTCTCTGAAAGCAGGCCCGGCCTCTTTTGGCAGAGGGCAGTGTGTGTGACTTGGTCCCAAATTAGAATGTTTGGGTCATAGAGGTTTCTAGGTTTTTATGTTATGAGCCGGGGCACTGCAGTAAGTGTTTTGCCTGCATTTCTGCATTCAGTTCTCACAACTACCCTGGAACACTGTCCTGTTATTGTAAACACAGCCCTACTGTTGTACCTGTTACAACTGAGGATATATTAATCTCATTATTGGTGGCCAGCTTCTCAACTAGGGAGAAAAATAACATAATTAAGGAAGAAAATAAAGCAAGAAAAGCTAGTATTCTCTTGGTTGGCCTGGAAAACACCCCAGTGAACAAGAGACGGGGAGATACAGAAGGGGAGGAGAGTTAGAGCATCGATAAAGGAGACCTGCCTTATATCAGAATAAAGGTGGCTTTGTATGGTCATTGCTATTGATTTTTTAATCTCTCACGTGGTTTGCCAGCCCATTTCCCTGGTCATGAGGAATCCACTTATGCGTGGGGAGAAAGACTCCTTGTTTATGTACCAAGGGGTAAAGTCAGCTTTTCTCAGCAGTTCCAAAAGCCTACAATTGATTTTATGTCCTGCAGATCATAGGCAAACATGTTAAACAGAACAGCGGGCCAGTGGTACCCTTGGATGTGAGTAGAATTCCCTTTCCCGGCACACAGCTGGAGGATGAATTAGAATGCCTGGTTTATCTCTTGTGAGCCCAAGATACTCCCTCCAGGGGCACAGTAGGCTTGATGTGGGCACCATCTCCATCTTCACTTTTCTTCTTTAATGTGCAGAAGAGATGAAATACATACGCAGGTAGAGTCCCCAGCCTGCACCAGGGCTCCTCCCGTCTCCAACTCACCCCACAGTTTGCTTGTTGGAACTGTAACTCCCAAAGCTCAGTGCCCTCCCAGCAGCCCCTTCTACTTCCTGCCTTTCGATTGGTTAATAAATATACTGGGATACATGATGTGGAGGAAGAATGTTGCCTGTCATATCAGTCAACAGAGGATGTTGTGGCCATCAAGCCATCCGCCACTGCAGCCGCGCCCCGAGCTGTGGCCCCTGAGGGCACTCAGGATGGGAAAGAAAAGGACACTGGCCCTAGATAGCTAAGGTGCATGGCAAAGGATTGATGGCAATGACCCTGACTCTTGCATCTTCCCATACATAGAAAAGCACTAAATTTATTTACTAAAGATACTTGCTTGTATTTAATTAACAATGGTCTTTTGCTATTCTGACCACCTGGCCTTTGTTACAAAACACCTATAGCTCCTGGCTTCTCCCTCACCTCTTTGGACCAGCCCCTCAGAGCTATCTGAGAGGATGTCTCCAAGGCTTGAAGTTCTCAGAAAGTCCACCAAAGAGTTGTACATGTTTTTCGGCCAACAGTGGGATAGCCTGAAAGTTTTCTGTTGTTGCAGACCTTGGATCTCTTATCCCAAAAGTGAGGGGGAAAAAGGTGCTTCCTTAAAGTTCTTCAGGAAAGAAAGTGTGCTTTCCTTCATGTGTGTATCAGCTTTTGTCATGAGCCATATGTCTTTTTTGTCACCACAGACCTTCCAAATATGGGGACATCCCATAGTGTTTCAGGAGGTGATCTGATGTGTGTGCATGCACGTGTGTTTGTGTGTGTGCATTGTGATTATGTCTTTTTCTGCTCTCTAAATTGTCAGAAGAATTTCAAGAGAGTTAAGAATGACAAAATCACCATCTGAAACAAGAAACTCAACACTTTTTATTTTGAAAGAGGGCTTAAAATGTGTGATATTTTTCAGCGTGAAGTATGTTAGTGAATTCCAGATCTTTGTAATGTTCCCTATTTGATGTTTTTACCCTTTGGTCTGAGGCTCTTAAATCCTATCTAAATAGGAAAATGGTCCACTATTGCTCAAGTGCATGTTTCTTTTGGCCCAGATGATCTGGCCTCCTATTGAAAACACTGTGAAACTCTCCAGATACCGTGGTCCTAATGGATAACTTCACATTCAGTGATGGGGCGCATTCTCCTGACAGACTCAGGAGCTCCCTTTCAGGGATGGGGTGAATCAAGGTTAATTTACATTTCTGAACCTGTTGTCTGCACTGTTGTATGCTGACACAATTGAGTTTCTAAGGGACAACCAAAATAATATACGAAAGCACAAATCTAATGCTATTAAAAGCCGGGAGTGGCCATGATTAATTACCACTGAAGCTGAAGGGAAGAGGGAACTCCAGGAATCAGTTTAATTAATCATTTGGTTTAGAATTAATAAAATCCCTCTAAACTCAGTAAGAAAGAAGGATCGACAGGGAATAAATGGTGTTTGCTATTCAGAAAATCGACTGAAGCTCTTAATCTGGGGAACAGCCACGGCATCTTAGAGTCATTTACTTTGA